GTGTGCCAAGATCTCGGGGCTGATAGGGACTGGCACCATTTATGGATCTGTTGGTTTCATTTCTGTACTCGGTGGTGCCCCCAACACTGAACCCCCTCATCTACAGCATGAGGAACCAGGAGATCAAGGATGCAGTGAGGAAAATGATGTCATGGTCACATTTCAGCAGGGATAAACTTCTCACCTGTGTGAGAATCAGTGTGTGCTTGTCCTAAAACTTCTGTGTTTAGCTTTGATTGGTGTGTGAACAGCCCTGTTTTTATCAACAATCCTGTTTCACAGAAGCACTGAAATCACAATGGACTGCTTTTTTCTTTGCCTGCACCAGGTGCAAAGATGTGTTCTTGGGTTTGGTATCAACTGTTTGCAGTTATAGTGCACCAAGATAGAAAGTTGCTGATTGTGGCAAAACAAGCAATGGAAGTTTGACAAATTGGGGGAAAAGAGCTAAAAGGTGAGCCAGGGTGCACCGTGATGAAGACGAAAAAGAAATAAAGGGGAGGAAGTAGGTGCTGTGAGAAGGAGGACGTGCGGTGTCAGGGGCTGTGCTGGGGGCACGTCTCTGTACCACTGCATGCATGCTGCCCCACACAGTGCCTGCACTGAGCTGCCAGGGGCTGCCTGTGGGGCGGTGGGGCCGGGCTGTCCTGCAGAGGGGAAGGCACATGGAGCCTCATGCTGCAGGGCTGGGACCCAAATCACCCTGGAACTCAGCACCCAGCTGTGCTGTGCTCACCTTGCCTGGCTCCCAGGTGCCCCCTGTGCTGCTCTGTCACTGCCCCTCCTCAACAGGATGGGGGAGAAAACACATCTCAACGATTCCTGGGTTGAGGCATACATGTGCTTTATTCTTCCCTTGTGTAAAACCCAATGACAACAAGTTGTGAGTGTTAGTGGCTACGTATTAAATGCAGTGGGTTTTTTTTTCTTTTTTTTTTTTTTTCTTCACACTTTGGAACAGGTATTGCATTCAGCGTCCCTTTCACCTTAATATATTATTGGCAACTACACCTAACCCACAACACATTTGACTGATATTCTATCTATCTTATTTTATGGTTCATCTTCCTTTCTGTCCATGAAATACCCAGGGATATGCAGCTCTTCTTCTCTTCTGAGAACCAGGTGTCTGGAACGTTGTCGGTCCAGTGAACTTGAATATTAGCTCTTTAATTACCAGTGATTTACATGATGCTATGATGTATAATACCAATAAGAAAAGTATAAAGCCATGACACGGATGCAGCTAAAGGGTTGTGATCAGTGGTTCTGTGTCAGGGTGGAGGCGGTCACAAGCATTGTCCCTCAGGGGTCTGTCTTGGCTCTGCTGCTCTTCACCATCTTCATCAACAACATGAATGATGGCACTGAGTGCAGCCTCAGCAGGTTTGCCGATGACACCAAGCTGAGCGGTGCAGTTGATCCATTGGGGAGAAGGAAAGCCATCCAGAGGGACCTGGACAGGCTGGAGAAGTGGGCCCATGTGAAACTAAAGAGGTTCATCAAGCACAAGGTGATGAATTTGGCCCAGGTCAATCCCAGGTGTTTATACAAATTGGGGGAGGATCTCCTTGAGATCAGCCCTGCGGAGAAGGACTTGGGGGTACTGGTGGACAAGAAGCTGGACATGAGCCAGCAGTGTGCGCTTGCAGTCAGGAAGGCCAACTGTGTTCTGGGCTGCATTAACAAAAGGAGTGGCCAGCAGGGAGAGGGAGGTGATTGTTCCCCTCTACTTGACTCTTGTGAGGCCCTATGTGCAGCACTGTGTCCAGCCTGGGGCCCCCAGTACAGAAAGGACATGGAGCTCTTGGAGCGGGTCCAGAGGAGGGCCACTAAAGTGATCAGGGGGCTGGGGCACCTCTCTAGTGAGGAAAGGTTGAGGGAACTGGGCTTGTTTAGCTTGGAGAAGAGAAGGCTGCAGGGAGACCTCATTGTGGCATTTTTCAGTCAGAGGATCGTGAAGCACAGGGACTGGTTGTCCGAGGAGGTTGTGGATGCCCCAGTACTGGAGGCATTCAAGGCCAGGCTGGATGTGACTCTGGACAGCCTGGTCTGGTGGTTGGTGACCCTGCCTGTGGCAGTGGAGTTGAAACTAGATGATTGTTGTTGTCCTTTTCAACCCAGACTGATCTATGATTCTATGATTTGATGATAAACTGTGTGTAAACACGGAGTAAAGTGTGAGAACACCTGGAGTAGAGTGTGAGTAAAACCAGGAGAAAAGACTGAGTAAACCAGAAGAAAAGTGTGAGTAAACCCAAAACTGAGAGTAAGCCCAGAGTAAAGAATGAGTTAACCTGGGTTAAAATGTGAGAAAAACCTGGAGTAAAGTGTGAGTAAAATCCAAAGTAAGGTGTAGGAACACACAGTATGAAGTGTGAGTACAGCCGGAGTACAGTGTGGGTTAACGTGGAGTAAAGTTAGAATAAGATCCAATGTACGGTGTGACAACACACTGAGTAGTGTGTGAGTACACCTGGAGTAATGTGTGGGAAAATCCAAAGAAAAGTGTGAATAACCCTAAAGAAAAAAAACTTAAAGTAAAAACCAGAGGAAAGCAAGAGTAAACCCAAAGTAAAGTGTGAGTTTACCCAGAGTAAATTCAGAGTAAACCTGGAATAATGTTTGAGTAAACACAGAGAAAAGTGTGAATAAACTTGAAGAAATGTTTGAGTAAACCTGAAGTGTGTGTACACTGGGAGTGAAGTGTGAGTGATCCTGAAGTAACTGTGTAAACATGAAATCAAGTGTGAGAAAAACCATATTATGAATGCACCCAGTGCAGAGTGTGAGAAAACCAGAACTAAAGTGTGAGTAATCACAAAGAAGAGTGTGAGTAAATCTGGAGAAAAGCATGAGTAAACCTGGAGAAAAGTATGAGTAAAACTGGAGTAAAGTGTGAGTAAACCCAGAAAAAGAAAGTGTGAGTAAAAGCATTAAAATGGTGAGTAAAACCTGAACTAAAATGTAAATAAACACAGAGAAAGGTTTGAGTAAACCCAGAGTAAAGTGTGAACTTCACAACACTTGAAGAAAAATTCGAGTAAGCCTGGAGTAGAGTGTGAGAAAAAATGCAATAAAAAGTGTGAGTAAACCTGGATGAAAATGTGAGTAGACCAGGAGTGAAGTGCAAGTAAAGCCCAGAGTAAAGAGTCAGTAAACATTGTAAATTTTGGGTAAACACTGAGTAAAGTGTGAGTAAACATTAAGTAAAGTGTCAATAAAAACCAGAGTAAAGCGTAAAACTCAGAGTAAAGTGTGAGTAAACCTGAAATAAAGTGTGAGAAAACTTGGAGTGTGAGCATATCCAGTTTAAAGTGTGAGTAAAACCCAAAGTCAGAGAAAACATAGAGTAAAGAGTGAGTAAAATCCAGAGTAGAGAGTGAGTAAAATCTGCAGAAAGGTAAGAGAAAACCCTACACAAATTGAGAGTAAACCTGAGATAGTGTGAAATGTGTGAGTAAATGTGAGTAAAACCCAAATAAAAGTGTCAGTAACCTGCAGTAAAGTATAAGTAAACTTGGAGTAAAGTGTGAGAAAGACCTGGTGTAAAGTGTGATAAATCCTGGAGTAGAGTGTCAGTAAAATCCAGATAAAAGTTTGAGTAAACCCAGAGTAAAGTGTGAGTAAAATTGAAGAAAAGTTTCAGTAAACCTTGAATAAAGTGTGAGTAAAAGACAAAAATACGTGTGAATAAAACCAGAGTAAAGTGTGAGTAAACTTGGTGTAAAGAGTGTGGTAACCCAAATTAAAGTGTGAGTAAGCTCGGTGCAAAGTCTGCACAAACCCTGAGTAAAGTGTGAGTGAACATGGTGTAAACTGAGTAAAAAGCAGAGTAGATATGAATAAACCTGAGTAGGCTGTGAGTACACTCAGAGTAGAATGTGAATAAAAGTCAGTGTAGCATGTAAGTAGAACCTGGATTATATTGAGGGAAAACCTACAGTAAACCGTGAGTAAATCCTGGAGTAAAGGCTAAAAAAACCCTAAATGTAAGACTGTATAAACTGGGAGTAGTGAGTGAGGAAAACCCATAGAAAATTAAGAGAAAACTCGATGTGAATCGAGAGTGGGAGAAACACGCTCAAGATAAAAAATTCTCATCAGGCAAAGATCTCTGTGAAGGGCATTTTATAATTAATGCAATGATGGGTGCACACCCTCTAGTGACAAGGGAGAAATTGCACAACTACCCAGTGTAATCCTTTCTGTTATGTACCAAGGATCTGACACAGGTAAAGCCTCTCCTGGCACTCCAGGTATACTCAAACTTTACTTCAAGTTTTCTCACACTTTACTCCTTGTTTACTCCTACTTTTCTCCAGGTTTTACTCACACCATACTCCAGGTGTACTCTCACCTTCGTGTTTTACTTACAATTCACTCCAGGTTTACTCTTACTCTACAGTAGATGTGCTCAGACTTTACTCGGGGTTTTACTTGCAATTTCCTCTGGTTTTTACTCACTCTTTCTTCAAGTCTTACTCACACATTACTCTGGATTTACTCTTACTTTTCTCTTGGCTTTACTCCCAACTTACACTGGGATCACTCACACTTTACCCTGGGATCACTCACTATTCACTCCAAATTTAGTCACACCTTATTTTGGATTTATTCAGATCTTACTCATAGTTTACTCACTCTCTGTTCCAGTTGTGCTCACAATCTACTCCAGGATTACTCACACTTTCCTTCAGCTAATTTCAGATCTTACTCAGGGTTTACTCACTCTCTACTTTGTGTCTACCCAGAATTTACACTAAGTTTTACTCATACTTTTCTTCAGGTGATCTCAAACATTACTCTGGGTTTAACCTTACTTTTCTCCTGGTTTTACTCACATTTTACATCGGGTTTACAAACACTTAACACCTGGTTTAACTCTCACTTTACTCTGGGTTTACTCTTACTCTACTCCATGTGGACTCACCTCTTACTACTGGTTTTACTTCAACTTTGCTCAAGGTTTACTCTCACTTTACTTGTGGTTCACTCTGTCTTTTCTCTGGTTTTTACTCACTCTTCACTCCTGGTTCACTAACACTTCACAATGGGTTTACTCACACTTTACTTCAGGTTTACTCAGACCTTACTCAAGGTGTACTCACTGTCTACTCTATGTACTCACAATTTACTTACACTTCACTGAACATTTATGTACACTGGGTTTTCTCACTCTCTACTTCCAGGTTTACTCACACTTTTCATGGGGTTTACTCAAACCTTACTCAGAGCTTATTCATTCTCTACATCAGGTGTACTCACAATTTACTCTGTGTCTTCACACAGTTTACCCCACATTTACTATCACTTTCCTCTGGCTTTACTCATACTTTACTTTCGGTTGTCTCACACATTTCTCCATCTTTACCCTTACTTTTTCTCACACTTTGAACCAGGTTATGCACACTTTATCTTAGGTTTACTTTCCCTTTACACCAGGTTTACTCTTACTCTATTCAGGTTGTACTGACACCTCACTGCTGGTTTTGCTCACCCCTTACTTCTGGTTTTACTTACACTTTACTCAAGTTTTGCTCTCACTTACCTCGTCGTTTACTATGTCTTTTCTCCAGGTTTCACTTACACTTGACTCCAGGTTCACTCACAATTAACTTTGGGTTTAATCACACTTTATTTCGGGTTTACGCAGACTTTACTCAGGGTTTACTCTCTCTCTCTACTCCAGGTGTACTCACATTTTACTTCAAGTTTACATACAGTTTACTCCAAGTTTACTCACACTTTACTCGGGGTTTAGTCAGAATTTCCCCCAGGTTACCACATACATTACTTTTGCTTTACTCTGTCTTTTCTCTGGCTTTTAC